CAAGAAAAAAATGCCACTTTCTGTTGACAATTACTCATTGAACCTTGAAGTTTACATAGTGACGAGTATGTGTTTGTTCATATTTTTTAATGACATTTACGACGCTTTTTACACAATTTTGAGTAGTTTCATATTTGCGAGCAAAAATGAAACATGGTTCTTCGATGTTTGTCAGAAGAAACATCGCTATTTTTCCTCTCTATCCTTTTTCTTATTTCTCGCATGCTTAGATCCTCCACACAATTTTATAATACGATGCATTAACATAGTGGATACAATTTCTTCAAATACTCAACAACGTGGTACCGCTTAGCTGTAGAAAAATAGGTTAGAATGTGCATGTCAAATTGTACTTATGTCTTTAAATCCGTCCAACTGATGTTGGCTGTGTTGTCTGAGAAAAAGAAATGTTCGCGTTGTTCATTCGATCAGCCATAAGATAGTGCAAAGTGTCCCCGGCTGAACAGTTTGAATTTCAAGGCTTTTTAGATCTAAACAAAGACTAAAAATATAGTCGACGTTGGCTGATTAGGATCAGTTTGCTTTCCGTTTCTGTGGCCATAAACAAGCGTAGACCACGTTGTTTCATATTTCTCAGCAATCATCAGTACGGTATAGTCATTGGAGACAGATAACGGAAAGCAAATAAGCAAGCGGAGGTAGTCTGTTGAAACACTCGCGAGTAGGTGACACTGTCACCTATTAGCAGTTCGCTAAATCTGTCTGTGAAGCAGGAACGCTTCTCTGCATCTCTGAAATGACAGCGCGATGAACGTTAAAGTATCGCCCAACATCATAGGCGCTTCGTGAATAGGGGAACATTAATTGTTCCACCAGCTGTTGCGTACTAAGCAAAAGTTGTGTAAACTAAATACGGACTGAATAAATAACAAATGTTAGGATGACCTGCATGAACAGTACCAGGCTTCTGCGTACAGAAGATGTTTTTTGGACAGAACTCCACCAGGAAGATGCTCTGATGCATCAAAAGATGAATTTATTATTCTCATGCCTATATGCACCGTTTTCTGCTTAAGTTTGTCAAGTTAAGAACAGCATTCCTATGCACCGACTATGTTTCTTATCTTCCCAACTAAGATCATTTTCGATCCGGCAACGCTGCATATATTACAGGAAATTTGAATTTTAGTTATGTATTTTGACTGGGATTTGATTCTCTGGCAGATTCATTTGAAATAAAAAAAATCAAACAAGCTTTCTTAGAAAATCGCGGTATAAACCAGACAAATCGTCGTTGTGTGTTCTATTAAAACTGGACAGACGACAGCATTCACCCAGAATAATTATTGAGGAAAATTCTCCCGTCTCAGGCGCACCTAAATTGGAGATTCAATTATGTTTGGAGGCTTTATTAATAGAACATATTGCGGGACATGTATGGAGAACTTAGAAAATCAGGTTCGATACACCCACAATTCTTCACTGTTTTCCAACATAAAGAAGTGACCTACCTGATACAGTTCATTGAATTTTATAAAATAGAATAATTGAGAGATTTTAATATGCATAGTAAATATTTACAAGTCATTCTAGGAACTAGAACACTATACTGTCGTACTGCAGTACAGTTCATTTACTGCCTGTCATCTCATTCAATACATTTCGTTTATGATTGCAGTTACAAAAAATATCATTGACGTTATTTAACAAAAATAGTTATTTTTTCACTTTGTGAGGTATTTCATGTTATTTACATTTAATAAGCATTAATAAGCATAAAAGCAGTAAATCAATTTATCAAAATTAAGTAGTAGTTTTCAAACTATACTACTTTTATTCTCTTTATGATGCAAATACTGCCTTTTTACCCTTCATAACCTATTATGATGTTTATTTCTTTAGTTTGTTATGTAATAACTATTTGTGAACAAGTAAATGATTATTTTTCCTCCGAAAGAATGATTTTGAAAAATATTCTTAGTTTAACTTGACATATAAGAAAACTTACTGTTTTCAGTTGATTTATATAATTATTTTGTTGCATGGAATTGTTAAATGCAGCTTGAGGAACTCGTTAAAAGTTGATATACCAAAAATCACATATTTATATAAAAATTGCATAATAAGATAGTTAGTTTACATTATTAAAATTTGTTTAAAAATATCATTATAAAGTTAAATGGATACCGCTTTTACAAAAACTTCAAAATTGTCCCCATTTGTTCGATTAACGCAAAATCTTGCTCGGCGGTTGAAGTTCTTCATAAGTTTTTACTGCTCCATCATGATACACCAACTCTTTCAAATAGCCTCACAGAAAAAAATCGCAAGGCGTTAAATCCGGGGGAGCGAGCAGGCCAAGAAATGGGTCAATGGCGCCCTATCCATCTTTTCGGAAATTCATTATTTAGATGTTCATGACCTTCTCGTCTAAAATATGGTGGAACCCTATCATGTAGGAACCACATATTCTGTCTCACATTTAGAGGAACGACTTCTTATAATTGTGGAAATCTGAATAAATTGCACCGATCAGTCGAGGTGGAAAAAAGTAGGGTCTAATAAGCAAGCCATTTACCACGCCAGCCCAAACATTTAATGAAAATATGTGTTGGTAAAATGAATTCGTTTCACAGCATGTGGATTTTATACTGCCCATACATGATTGTGCACTCCATTTCGTGTAAATGTGGCCTCGTGTGTACACACTTTTATTTTATTATGCAACTTATATAGCAGTTAAAATGAAAGACTCAACTTTGAAAACACCCTGTATAAGTGTTAAATTCAATTATTAGATGTTAAAAAGGTTAGCTTTTGTTCATAAAATAAATTATAGTAAAATTAAATTCCATATTACTTCGTTTAAAAAATAATATAAATAGATTATGAAAACTAAGAAATAATGCAGTTAGTTTGTTTTCCAGAGTATAAAAGGAGTTAATCACATGTTACTGCTTTTTGATTCACGACAGTTAAATACGGAATGTCATTTATTTTAGGCCTCGATAGCAATTATGATCCGAACTTACATTTAAATGACTCTCTATAAATTTCGCTTTTGTTCTGTCGTAGTAATACTATTTATTTAGTTCGAAAACATTCAGAATTCAGAGAGACATCCACTCCCGATTTTAGTTTTGACATGCTTTACAGTCAGCAACGTTAACAAGGAATGCCTCAGCATTTAAGTCATCGATTTGGTTTCGTTAATTTTTAGGTGTCTTTTTACGTTGGTGCATAGGAAATATTCAATATGTCACATAACCTCTACATTGATGTCGGTGCATATGGTCATTAGTATATTTTTCGTGGAATACTAAGAGTATTATACTGAGTATTGAGCTCTGTTGAGTATAATTTTATTTAGTACATTCATTTATATATGGCTTTGTAAAGTGCTTTTGAAAGAAAAATGGCAAAACACTCCATAGAGGCAAATTCTGTACGTGGGTCTGCCAAAAACTCTACCCATAGGGGTATAACTTCGCTAGATTACTGGGCCTCTTTTAAGTTTGCTACTTATCCGTGCATTTTACTTAACCTTATTTGTATCGGCGAGAAGTGCTGGGTCTGGTTACCTATACCGTATCATACCAGGATCATATCCAACACGATACGTCGCAATGTAGGCGTTCTGTTTGTTGCTATCGTTATCGTATTTGTGATGAAATTCATAGACCGTTCTAATGATTGCCAATAAGCATGAAACAGCACTATGCACGGTTGGTCCTCTGTTGCTCGGCCAGACCGGTGAGTATATGTACTATGTAACCAGAATAGGCGGCATCATGCGGTCATAGTGATGTCGACGCGAGTTCCAATAGTCAGCTGCTGTTTACTTTCGCTGTTGTGGATGTTGGTAATTGATGGCACGATCTTGGTACAATTAGATATAGTGCGCAAAGACTTTTACTTCGCGAACGGTCCTTTGATCTGTAATGACTTTGATTGGAAGTTGGTAGTAACAGGAAAAATTGTGGATATTAATATTTAGCTATTTGAAAGTGCTACCATAAAATTTTAGTGGAAGATGTTATAGCACTATAGTGAACAAAATGTTCAAACGGAAAAAACATTTTCCATCCTCACTTTTTAAAATTATTGTCAATCCGTCAAGGATACAAAGCATTGGCGTAACAATGGAGTGGTGGGATGGGAAAAAATGCGACGAACCCCATCTAAAACGAGCACTTGGCCTGAGACGGGCGTGAGCACCTTCATTATTACGGCATTTAATAAAAAACATTAGTTTAATTTAATTACTGTTAGTTACCTGCTTGAAAATGTATTAAAACTTGAATCCATTTCCATCGAACATTCCATGGCTTGAGAAAGTAATTAACAATTTTGCTGAACGAAAAGCCCAAAAAATTGATTTCAGTTTAATACAACATATTAGAATATCAACTAATTCGCGTCGTGTACGCTAATAATAATTAAGATAAAAACTATAACCTTGAATGAATGAATCATGAAATTAGAGGCATACCGGCCACCATAAGGAGCCGGCGCATAGGCCACTTGAACGGGCCCTTGTGCACCTCTACATTCCTTAGACCTCAAGCCTCGCCATTCTAGCAAAGTTGAGTATGGTCTTGAGTCCAAACTCCGTAACGTCCTGGGGGTCCAAATTGATGGACCCCAGTATAGTCTGAATGTAGTAGCTCAGAGCTTCACACAAGGGATCCTCTGCCACCTCCATCAAGTTGAGGTGGCACCTTAACGTGTAATGGCCAGACGACAGTCAAACCAGCAACCTTAGGTTAAGCAGAAACGTCCATCCTTAGCGCTTGGCTCTACAATGAGTTCTCGTGCCTGACAGAGATTTCGGGAGATGCTTCTCCATTTTCCTGCTAACTCTTTGCGCGGGTACCCCTAAAGCTGGCTCAGGACCACACTAACGATACTAGATGCCTCGCTGCTAGACAATCCAGAGCCTCTCTCCCTTGTAATACAAGAGTCGAAGTGATCTTTCAGGCACTTAGTGCCTTCATTGCAGCCTGGCTGTCGGAGAAGATTGTTATTGTTCTCCTAGGCCCTGCCCCCTCCAGTATGAGGGATACTACTATACGAGGGATGTCTTTTAAGTTTTGCATATGGAAATAAAACAACACGGTAGGTAGTTTTAAATGACTTTATTGTTTTTCGAAGTTTTCTCCACGAAGATTAATACACATCTGCATGCGCTTGAACCAATTTTCGAAGCACTTATTCCACTCGTTTGCTGGCAGATCCAAAACGGCATTTTTGAATGCGTCAACTGCTTCTTCTGGTGACTGGAACCTTTGACCACGCAGTCTGTTTTTAATTTTCGGGATAGTAAAGAAATCGTTAGGACTTAGATCGGGTCTATATGGAGGATGGTCCAATAATTCCACGTTTTCTTCCGTTAAATACTGCCTTGTTTTTTGGGCTGTGTGCGAGCTTGCATTGTCTTGGTGGAGGATGATGCTTCTTTCGGGGTTGATTTTTCGAAGCTCGGTGATGACTTTTGTCCAACAAATGGTGGTATACCAATCCGCAGTAACAGTTCATCGCTCATTAAGAGGAATTTTTGCAATATGAACCGCTTTTGACACAAATCTTTTTCGAAACACTTCAAGAACGGATGACTTTTGTTGGCCTTTCTTCACCTTGGAACACCCAAACAGCCCACTGTCGTTTATTTTCTGGTTCATAACAGTAAATCCACGATTTATCACCACTAGCAATGCTGTACACATTTTTTGAGTTTCCGGAATTGAAACGGTCAAGCGTTTTTTGACACCAATTAACCCTGTGTCTGCTTTCTGCTCTTCAGTCAGCAGGTGGGGTATCCAACGAAGAACTAATTTTCTTACTCCTAATTCTTCATGTAAAATTTTTTGAGATTTTCAAGGACGCCTCAATATCGCGATATGTCACATGTCTATCTTCAATGATAAGTTTGCTGACAGCATCGATGTTTTCCTGGGTGACTGCCGTTTTTGGTGCACCCACCCTGGAATCATCGCTAAGACTCACCCGTTCACGTTTGAATTCTCCATACCAACGGGAAATTGTCGACTGATGTGGCGCTTCGTTGCCAAAAACATACAGTAACTCAGCAAGGCATTCTTATTGCGATGATTGTCTCTGAAAGTTGTAATAAATTATGGCGCGAAAATGTTTTCGGTTGAGTTCCATTTTTCTAATGACTTGGTGACACTTAAAAATTCAGTGTAGTGAGAACACTGCACGTATTGTTGTGAAACTTTGAATTTAAGTTTACTAAGGAGTGAGGTTAAGATTCAGTACTGACGTTCCATCCGCGCGGCCTACTATGTTTCTATTTGCAAAACTTAAAAGACATCCCTCGTACTATAAGCTTAGAACTTCTTAATATCGGGAGAGGACCCTAACCGATGAACTTGCCACGGGCTTTAAACGGTACACTGATACAAGGTGTTTCCTTGATCCAAGATAACGATATAGTTGTAACGCTGTTGGTTATTAAAGACTTGTATTTATTTCGCTCTTTAACAGAAAACATTTTCCTTATTGCTATAATAAGACTTAATTAAACTGGAGTATAAACCGAGATTGTCAGATATGACCATTGAGAGATAATTTTCTTAGAAAAAGACACTTGGGCGATCAAATGAAAAACCCACATACTTCAATGGTTGCACACTACACTTTTTGGATCACATAGACTTAGTGTATTCTATCAATTATTTTTTGTATATGTTTTAAGTCTCCAAACTCCAATGTAGATCACTGTATTCACCAGGTGTATAGCGTTAGAAATATTTTGAAAATGGGAGTGAAGACGTCTGGATATTCCAGGTGGAATTTGTGCGTTTTAAACGTACAATAATTAGTTTTGTGTCTTGAAAAGGGTATGCAGTAGGTCCCAGGTTTCATTCCCCCCATAGCTAAGCCCTTGGTGATCGTTAGCCTAATTGTATGAAGGTTTGTACATTGGAATATGTCGTGAAAAAAGATCAAATTTTCACCTGTTTGGGCATGTTATAAAATTTTAAATGTTTCAACAAAATTTGTTATGTTGTTCTTTTTGTTTGCTTTGCGGTGTGTCAAATCGGAATTAATGACGCAAACTCAAGAAAGGATATTTGATATTTCTGTGATTTATGTCATGGTGTGTTCCTCCAACATTGATTTATTTACGCACCACGTGTGAATCATCTAATAAGAAAACATTTCAGCAAAGGCTTTCATTTTTCCCATATTCGGATTACAAGTTTTACTTATGATTTCAAAAAATTTCTTTAAAAGTATGAAAACTAAACCCAGTGCCGACCCCCTCACATTGCACAATTTTTTATGGTCGTCTTCCCATTCGCTAGGAACAAAGGTAACGGAAAACGAAAATTTTGTTACCCACAGAAGTCCTATAAAAATGGCGCATATGAACTTTATGGTTTGGATTATTCAAAACGGATCCGCTTTTTCTTTGGGGATTGTTAGAGAAATCTTATGTGGAGCGACGAATCAAAAGTCCGGGGTCTGTTGTTCTACCGCAACATGGATACAGGGTGTCGAGGCGACTTCTATAGTCGCTACATAAATTTATGGTCTGGAGACACTCATTGCCAAGAATAAGGGATGTCATTCCAAACTTAATAGCATAAAACAGTATTGAACTAGAAAATCCAGTTTTCAATTCTAGCGCTCGAAATCGAATAATGCTGCAACATTTTTTTTAACGGAAGCTGTGACGTTACAAAAGACACTTCAAGGAGGTAGTCATTGGTTCAGTTATCAGGTTTTTTAGGACCACATCATTTAATTTAGATTAGCCTCCGCATTAACTGGATTTAACAGCTCCCAGGTTTTTCTATCAGTTCTATTTGAATAAATATGTGTTTATGAATCCGACAAGAAATATTGAAAAACAATATTCTAAACGAAATTGCAATCGTAATGCCCGTAATCTTGCAGGATGTTATAGAAGTTGCTTTGGGATGGAAACGTGTAGAACAAGCATAATGTGACCGATATTCAAGAGATTTTATCCTACTTTTCTAATAGTATATCGTATTTTTAATTCAATTTCATTTAAATGATAAATGAATATGTTACAATGAATTTAAACCATAACGTTCATTCTGCGCCACCCTGTGTTTGAGTGTTTCCAAAAATCTGTAATCTGAATGAAAACTCGCCCTTCGAGTAAGCCGGGTCTGTAGATTCCTAATCCGACGTCAATTTTAAAGAACTCTCGAGGACTCGGAAGTCAAAGTCCTGTACTGACGTACTTAGGTAAAAGGCAGTAAAGTGTAATACCTGCGCTTCACTATCGTCGTTGATCGTTCATAATACGCACGATCATCGTGCAATCATCCACACGAGCGTCCGTAGTGAGTGATCGGCGATCGTGCGGTCAACCACCTGGCGTGTCCGAAAAACCCACAACTCACGGGTCGAAGGCGATCATAGACGATGATCGGCGAGCACAGCCGATTATCCCATCTACACGATCGTGCTCGCGCATATTCGTTTGTAATCGCCGATTGTGAAGAGGAGCTATAAAGGCCGCTGCACAATTACCCGGGAACGCTAGTGATTGACCACTGTGACAGCATTTTTGCACCTAACTGCAAGCATCAGTATGAAAATGAGTCATCGGCGATCGTGTGGTCACCTCAACACAAGCAGCTGGCGTGTCCGAAAAACCGACAATTCACGGGTTGAAGGCGATCATAGACGATGATCGGCGAGTACAGCCGAGTATGCCCTCTACACGATCTTGCTCGCGGGTATTCGTTTGTAATCGCCGATTGTGAAGAGGAGCTATAAAGGCCGCTGCACAATTACCCGGGAACGGTGTGATTGACCACTGTGACAGCATTTTTGCACCTAACCTTACTTTAACTGTCAAACTGCAAGCATCAGTATGGACGTGGAGTGTATTACTGCTGCAACCATTTGTTTACGACGGAAAGTGAGTGATCGGCGATATTGTGGTCACCTGAACACAAGCAGCTGGCGTGTCCGAAAAACCGACAATTCACGGGTCGAAGGCGATCATAGACGATGATCGGCGAGTACAGCCGAGTATGCCCTCTACACGATCTTGCTCGCGGGTATTCGTTTGTAATCGCCGATTGTGAAGAGGAGCTATAAAGGCCGCTGCACAATTACCCGGGAATGGTGTGATTGACCACTGTGACAGCATTTTTGCACCTAACCTTACTTTAACTGTCAAACTGCAAGCATCAGTATGGACGTGGAGTGTATTACTGCTGCAACCATTTGTTTACGACGGAAAATGAGTGATCGGCGATATTGTGGTCACCTGAACACAAGCAGCTGGCGTGTCCGAAAAACCGACAATTCACGGGTCGAAGGCGAACATAGACGATGATCGGCGAGTACAGCCGAGTATGCCCTCCACACGATCGTGTTCGCGCGTATTTGTTTGTAATCGCCGATTGCGAAGAGGAGCTATAAAGGCCGCTGCACAATTACCCGGGAACGGTAGTGATTGACCACTGTGATAGCATTTTTGCACCTAACCTTACTTTAACTGTACAATTTTATGACAGTTCCTCTTAAGTAGCACCTATTTTTTCATTTTTGGAGTATTTATCCGATAAAACTAAAAATGGATTTTGAGGAACAGTTTCTCATTGCATCCTCAGAAATATTGGCACTTCTTTCTGAAACACCCTGTATGTGCAGCGCAGTTAAAAGTTAATGAAACATTTTGTCGTATCTAGCCAGCGGAACCGTTGAAAGAAACTGAGGTATAGGGAACCAATGGGTGCATCAAGCTACAATAAACAAGTATGTAGTTAGTAAGCACTAGATGAGATGCGAAAAACTTGCTATGTATGCACTGTGGTGTAGATGTCTTTAGAGCAACCCTTTTTTTTGATGTCATGCTGCCCCTTCCCCGTACCTCCGTGTTTAGTTAAGCCAACTTAGAAATGTTTGTTTCACTCTATACCAACAGTTGATACTCTTACTTACCTGTCAATACAACCACGACAAGCTTTTTTCTCTAAACTTCAGCCACTCGACATTCTCAAAAATCACGCACTGTTCACAATGTGTATATTTTGGTACCGATCACGTCATTGTACATTACTGCCCGGCCAAGTGATACAGCTGAAATTCTACAGGGCGATTCATAAAACAGTGACAGAAGATACGTCCAAAACTAACAGAAGTTTGTAAAGGTGGGTTTTTTAAAATGCCCCTTACCGAGATACAGAGTACTGAAGTTACTTTTACTAAACATTTTGTCGTAATTTCTTAATCAGAGAAAAAATGGTTGGTCAGCCCTGGAGAAAAGGGTGAAGGTCCAAATGGGGGTTTTTCAGCCATCAGAACAATTAAAATTTTGGCATTTTGGATATTTAACTTTCTGTGTTTGTATAAACTGAGACACAACACATATACAGGGTGTTCCTTAGCGATATGCGAATATTTAAGGGTGTGAATCTACATAAAAAATTAATGTTAGTTTGCTTTATAAACTACGGTCCAAAATTAGTTTTAGAAAAAAAAATGGAAATTAATTAATATTTTTAGCTTTAACAGTGGCGTGCGTACGAGTATTGACTTTGATATTTTTTGAGAAAAAAATGGTACGCCAATGTTTTTTTGCCATATAAAAATTATTTTTGAATTCCCCATTCAATTTAAAACAAATTATCTCTCTTGAATTGTTTTCGTTCGATGCGCCATTTTTGAGTAAAAAAATAAAAACCGTTCTATTGTCAGAGAAAATTAATGTAATAATTGAATAATGCAATTTAGCAATAAATATCTAGTTGCTTTGGAATATTTCACTAGCTTTTGACATCTGACAAGTCTCTGTTATTCAAATTTATTCGCTGTGACATCTGTTTCATTATTTAGTTACAATCTTGTTAATAATGGTGAATTATTCAAATGCATGGCGGAAATGCATTACGTATATGGCCTTGCCGACGGTAATGGTCAGCAAGCCAGAGATATCCCGACCGTGCTTTGCCCGATAGTCGAACCTTTTCTAATATTCATCGTCGTCTTGTTGAAACTGGTTCTGTCCGAAAAGGAACATCTGAAGGTGGACCTCTAAGTG